ATGGACCCTGTCAAGCCCCCTCAGAATCTTGTATGCTTCAATAAGATCAATCCTCATTCTTCTAAACACTAATGCATAACAGCCTGACCTGTTTAGCTGTTCTTAATAAGTCAACCCCTTCATCTCAGGAATCAGCCTCATGAATCTCTTTTGAACAGGCTTCAATGCTGGCATACCCTTTCTTAAATACGGAGACCAAAACTGTATACAGCACTCCAGGTGCAGACTCACCAACACTCTGTGCAGTGGTAACAAGACTGCCCAATTTTTAAATTTCACCCCCCCCCAGTAATAAAGGCCAAAATTACATCTGTCACCTTGATGACTTGCTGTATCTGCATGCTAATATTTTATACAAATGAGATCGTTATTTCAAAGTTCCATTTGACTGCATGCCCTAGTTCAATCTGTGGCCTGGTTCAATCCATGTTACAATTCAATTCCTGTTACTGTTCAATCCATGGTCCAGTTCATCTGTAGAGATAACGGTGTTGACCCCTTTCCAAACCACTGACCTCCAACACTGAAAATGCCAGAGATCTTTTTGCAAAAATAGATTTTAAAGATGTATATATGTAGGTGCAAAGTGATCGCTTACATTTTACAGCAATTTAATTATTGGTTAACATCAATCCTCTGGTGAATTAGGTTTGTAATAATACAGCTCTCTGCCAACTTGTAAATGGGCATCATCTGACATCTCTGATTTTGGTGCAAATTGCACTGCTTTCTGTGGCAGAGGATTCCACAGGCTCACTACTCTCTTGGGTGAAGACATTTCTCCTCATCTCAGTCCTAAATGACCTACCCCATATCCTTAGACTGTGACCTCTGGTTCTGGACTCCCCAGTCATCTGGAACATCTTTCCTGTGTTTGCCCTGTCTTGTCCTTGCTGTTCAAGATACAGGTCACAACTATAGCTTTGTTCGTGTTTCTGAAAGTGTGATTGTCAAAATTGCAGTTTCTGGTGTTTGTATTTTGCTGTTACTATGATGTTTTATGATACATTATAAAAGGAGTGAAGGCAGCCGTTTGCAAAGTGTGCCACGCGTGTGAGAATGTGGTCCAGAACTGTGACGGACACAGGTAGTTAGGGCATAGCAGCGAAAGTGAGGGGTGGAAAAGTAAAGGCAGACTGAATACCTGAGAGCATTGGAGCAATGCAAAGATTGGATACAATTAAGAAGAAAATAAAATTGCAATTGGGGCTTTAAAATAAATCAGACAAAACTAAATTGGAGATAAGCTGTTGAACATTAAGTTGTTAAAGAGGGCAGGGCTTCTGGGAAACGGCTTCAAAAACTAAACAGGGTGCACAATAAAGTTTATAAAACAACTAGAGCAAAGAAGCGGCGCACAAAGAATCATGATGCAGCTTAAGAAGCCAGATTGCAGACAAACAGCACAAAATCAGGCTGTGGGGGAAAAAAAGCAGCAAAAGA